CCTCACGTTGTGGTGACCCCCAATTTCATTGTTACAAATTGAACATAATTAAAGCACAGTGATTAATCACAAAAACAATATGTAATTATATATGTGTTTTCTAATGGTCTTAGGCGACCCCAGTGAAAGGGTCGTTCGACCCCCCAAAGGGGTCGCGACCCACAGGTTGAGAACCGCTGCTCTAAGAAGTCCTGCAGTAAATAAACAGTTTAACTTTGCTTAACAGCCTCTCCCAGATTTACTTGACCAATTGTCCCCTCACATAAAATTGCTTTAATCTTTTTTTCTTTTTATTACATAATGCTTATTAATAACACACTTTGGGAAATGCTGCCAAAGAACTTATGAAAGGATTTATATTTTGCCTGCCACATATTGCATGCCTACTATGTGCAAGACACTTTACATGGATTATTTTTAACCACTGAAACAACTCTGTATTATTATCCCTATTTCACAGAAGAGAAAAATGAGGTTAAGAGTGGATAAATAACCTGTCCAAGGCCCCTCAGCTAAGGAGTAACTCGCCCAGGCCAATCGGACTCCAAATCCCACATCTTCCATCATATCATGTGTCTTCCTACCTGGGACAGAGACTTGCTTCTCTTTTTGCCAAAGGAGAAGGTTAGTTGCTCTTCCTTAGAGACCCCTGTCTCAGGATCCATTCATTCTTCTGAAAGCCTTGCCTGAGTCATTCCTTTGGCTCATGGAATTCTCATTAGAAAACAGAACCAGAATCTGAATAGCCGTGGGCAGGAATCCCAGGTTTGCCATTTACTATTTATGTGATTTTAGGTAATTTACTTAACACCTCTGCTCAGTTTTCTTATCTATTTTAAGTCTGTACAAAACATCTGACCCAGAATGCTTAGTACATGGCAACTGTTCTTTTTACTGTTAATTATTAACAATAAGTCTTCATGGGAGAAAAACTCATTAGGAAAATTTTAGAGATCCCTGTTTTAAATCCCCCAATTATCCCGGTGTGCTAAGATACAACTATTTTTATGTTAAAGATGAAAAAACCCTGAAACCTGTTAAACCAATGACTTTTTAAAGTGTACAGCCAGTGAGGAGCAGAACTGGCATCTGGGTTCCCAGTTCACAGAAATTTAAGGCACCCCAATGTGTCAAACAGCTAAGGGCACCTGAAAAGGCAGAAAATTTCTGACCTAAAGCTTTGGGAGCTATTGGTCAGTGGAAATCCAATCAGCAATGAGGATAAATTTTCTCTGAAATTGTAAATTGGGTAAAATAAAAAAATGAGAAACTTTAATTTGATCTAAAATTTGGTTGGAAGGATAGCCCGCTTGTGTTACCTGCTCTTCTATTTCCGTTTGTTTGTTTGCTTGCCTTTTCTGGTTATTCACAATTACTCAGACAAAGCATTTTCCCTTAAAACAACGTTTGTATAAATTGACTCAAGTTCCAATAACAGATGAGCATAAGCTCGCTGCATTAATGTTGTCAGGCTCTCAGTTGATTCTGTGCTGTGATCTTTTGGGTTTTGCCTCGACTGCTGAGGCGAGGACACTCCCCAATGAAATGAGCTGTCTTTAGGCACAGTTAGTCACAAAGCTTAGGTCCCAGCATTTCAGCTTGGAATGGGTCTGTTCCCATCAGCCCACTGACGTTTATCAAAGGAAATGTAATATTCATCCAGATTGAATTGGAATGAGTTTTTCTCTTCTATTAAACGAACAGCGACAACACAATGTACTTGGAAAAATAATAAGTTTGTGCTTATGCTAATTGAGGAAGTCGTATTAAAATAAAGTGTGTGTGGCTCAGAGACTCGTAACCCCTGCACCTCTGGGGAGTCAGCAGTCCTCAAGTGGCTACTGGAAAATGCTTCATGTTTTTAAATTCTTGTTCTCAGTGTTAGGAGAACATACTGTTTCTCCATACCCACCAATACAATTCTTAGCACAGAGTCCCTAACCCACTACTACCCCTGGTTTCAATCACCAACCCAGGTGCTGGGATGGTAGATTGGTGTTATTTTAATTTAAAATTAAAATTTAATTAATTCCTCTTTCTTTCACTGACAGCGCCAGTTTTTAGTACACTCATTCATTTGCAACTTCTCTTATTAGTTCTCTACAGGAGAGGGAAATGAGATGTATGGTGTGCCCATTTTATGGATGGGAACAACATGGACTGTACCCAAAAGCTGTTAACAACTTTTCTCTCATCTCATTAACTAGAGTTTGGAAGAGATTTGGCTTATTTATGTACTGAAGTGTAAAACACAAATGATCAATCGCATACATTGTGATGACTTTCATCAAAGAGGACTATAGCTACAGAAATAGTGCTTTGAGTCTTTGAGCTTGAGAACCTTAGGAACTATTATTTTGATAGTTCTAATGTTGCCACCTATGGGAAAATAATATCCCATTTTAGAGGGGAAGAAAATGAAGCTAGAGAGAAATACTGGCCCGATGGGCGTAAAGGGGGCCATACAATCTAAGCCTCCTGCTGGTCCACTCCCGTGTTGGAGGTGTGGTTCTCCATGTGTTCTCACTTGGCTGCACATGGCTGATGACTCTAACACTAATGGGTGTCAGGTTCATCCAGAGAGCATGACCTCACTACGTAAATTATTCAGCATTGAGGTTGATGTGACTATTTATAGGTCATAAGTCAGTTATAAACTCAGAAATATGAGAACAGGTCCTTAAATAGAGAAGCAATTGTTACCCACCCAGGACTTATTTTAAATGTAATGGTTGGAGCCAGGCAGATTTCATACCTGATACCCTTTATGTTGGGCTTTGGGATTGCTGGGTAGGATAGATAGGTGCACTGATTATAGCGAGGGATGAGGGGGAAATCCAGGTATGACAAAATGGGTTTCTCTCTTGAGCAAACTCCAAACAGTTGGTAATGCCTGCCTGAGGCACTGTGCTGAGAAGGATTCTGAGGCCAAGTTCAGACTCTCAGAAACCCACAGGCCACATATTTACCATCCCTGGCTTGGTTATTTCATACTCTTCATCCATCAGTGACAGATGTTTCATGAAAGTGAGAACACTAGGTCACAGTTATTCACCAAAATTACCTTGCTGAATCTTATACACTGATGCATCTCCTACAACCAATCAAGGGAAAAGAAACCAAATTGCCTCCTTTCAAAGACCCTTAGAGCAATGATAGGTCATTTACAAGATTGGGATAATGAAGCCGTGACAAATCCGGTTGCTGGCAGGATTTGGGGTAACCTCGGTTGTCATCATCCAGAGGGAGAGATTTCTCTGCCAGGCCTGGGTTCTGAGACTCAGCCTCCCTCCATTCTTCTCTTTCTTAGTAGTTATCTCTTTCTCTTATTCAGGATCCAAGTTGATTCAAGTGCAGAATGACATCTTGTTTCAATATGAAGGAATGCTAGGCCTTGAGATCTATTGTTGAGGTCATTCTTAAGTTATAAGATGCTCTAGTCCCTTGGTCTTGAATATAGTCTTAAACGAAGTCCCTTTCAAGGCTCTGATACCTGGGATTATGTTTCTAGTGGCTGCTGTTTCTTTCTTTTCTCTCTCTCTAGGCCCACACCAAACAATCACTCCTAGACCTTACTCTGGTCTTTGAAAAATCAGGTCATGTCCTGTTTGGATGCTGGGTACACCCTGTGGCTTTCTGTTCAGAACTGTACCGTCTTTACAGCTTCTTGGTTCATCACCCTGCCTGCCACCTCCAGGTACCCTGCTTTCGCTCAGGCTTCCTTCTCCAGCCTTTACCACAGATCGACCCTCCCTGGTGGTCCTCAGGCTCAGTGACGGTGGCCCTTAGCTATTCTGATCCAGCTCTCCTTCTGTGCAGATTTCCCCCTATTTTTAAAAAAGAAAAAAGAATTCTTGAGATCTCTGTAACTTCCTTCTTATGGTCCCTTAGGACACTGTCCTAAATGGGTAATAACTTACATTATTGAGAGCTTATGTGCCAGAACTAATCTAAATCTTTGCAGGTATTATTTCATTTAATCCTAAAACAATTCCATTATTATCCCCACTTAACAGATGAGAAGACTGAGGCCCTTTAAGTTAATTTTCTAGCATCTACATATCAAGTAATAGATGGTGAAATGACATTTGGGCATTTATCATTTTGCAATTATTTTCATTTGAGAATTCAAAATCACATTTGCCCAGCACAGTCATTTGCTATCTTTTCTGGAAATCTCCACTGCTTTAATTCATTATACCTTTTTGTTACCTTTCTAATGATAAAAAACATGTTTAATACAGAGTTCTCTAAACTTTAAAAACACTTAATAATTACATAGGTGTGCTTGCTTTGTGAAAATTTAATGAAATGCACAACTTGTGATTTGTGCACTTCTCCATATGGAAGTTATACTTTAATTAAAAAGTTTATGTAAAAGATACCCCTAGATCCCCTTATTTATATTTTAACTTAGAAAACACCTCCTGGCACCTCATTTTAGGACTGCAGTGCCATTTGCCAATGCTCTTGGGGAAGGTGAATATTGCAACAGCACCTGGTCAGATTTAAATGTTCAGAACAGGACATACATTGTGTTAGCTGGGCATGCTGCCTGACCCCATGTGTTTTATGTGATACAGAGGTTGTAAAAAACTTATTAGAACATTATTTCAATAAGGGGAGGAGAACCTTATGTTGTTGCAACAAACTTGTGGCCTGATTTAACTTGGAAGATAGAAGGTTGCACACTACTGTTGAATGCTGCTTTCACTTGGTTGGAATTTGGGATGTTACATTGTATCACAGGGTTTCACTCATACAGGTGCATCAACTTATTCTTCAGATTTCCAGGTTTCCATGCTCACAGAGAAGAAATAATGATAAAATTATATGCACTTGTCCAATGTGATACAATTTACCAAAGACCAAAATAATATCTATACAGCATGTATGACATATATTATCTCATTTAACTTCCACAACAACACTATGAAGGCATATGATTATTTCTGCATTTTGCACATAAGGAAACTGTGGCTTACAACAGTGCATCGTTTGCCCAAAGTCAACCCAAGACTGACTGATTCCAAAGTTCCTGATTCCTCAAGAACAAGCCCTGGCACTTCTCACTAACAGCTTGGACCCTCACAACAATGCAGCGGTTAAACATCGTTGTTTTCCCCATTTTGGACAAGGAAATAGGCGCAGAGAGATAAAGTGATTAGATAGACATTTGCAGAGCTCAGACCCCAGCTCAGGTTCTCAGACTCCAAATCTGGGAATACCTTCCACTAGATAATGTCACTGCTCAGGCCCACAATACAATTTATTTATGTTGATAATAGATAAACTAAAGGTGCAAATACAAGGTGATAAAATTCTTTTAACATCCCCATTCTCAGAGGCTCTCCCTGTGATTCTTTTAGCAGCTCAGCAGCTTTAAGGCAGACATGTCTAGAGCTTTAATTGTGACCGTTTTAGATTTTCACAATAGGTTCAGCCTAGGCCCCCTGATCTACATCAGTTACTTCTAGAAAAGGAATTGGGATTTGCTTCTGTGAAGGGCAGAGTCACACACTGACAAATGCACACTTAAATCTATCTATGGTGTTTGGGCTAGTTCAATGTTCCCCCCCCCCGACACACACACATACACACACACACAGAGAGAGAGAGAGAGGGAGAGAGAGAGAGAAGACAAGAGAGAGAGAGAGAGAGAGAGAAGAAATGGGACATTTGGCAATGTCTGGAGGCATTTTGGGCTGTCACAACTGTTGGGGAGGTGCTCTTGCCATCTAGTGGGTCCAGGACAGGAATGCTGCTAAATATTCCACAATGCCCCCACAACAAAAAAGTATCTGGCCCCAAATGTCAGTAGTGCCAAGGTTGAGAAACCCTGGTCTAGTTAATTCTGTCACACACACACACACACACACACACACACACACACACGTACACACACCTACCTGAAGTTGCTTAGGATTAAATTGACCTTGGAGATTATGGCAAAGTAATGCAATTGAAGGTATTCTCCAGAGAGTCTACTGCTTATCTGCCAATATTTATTTATTTACAAGTTACCTGACCCGTTTCCAATTATGACTTTGACTTACCATAAATGTACACACAGCGCAGTTAATGTGAAGATTTTTTAAAGATCAGAAACCACTGAGACAGTAGAGAGAAAGAACGTACACTCAACTTCTGCTAGTCACTGGGGATTTTCTGTCATAATTCTTTAAAAATCACATTGATATGTCTCCTCTACTTTTTAAAGCACTTTGTTGTTACAACCAGGTTTTCATTTACTCCAGCCCAATAAGAATTAGAAAAGAAGAGTTGATGAACTCTAATAGTTACCTCCCTGCCTCCGTAAAGAAGTGGGACCCTCAGGTTTCCAGACAGACTTCAAATCTTCTTTAGGTTGACCTTTTAAGAGATAATGGGATTACTTTTCAGCCTGGAGTCGAAAAAAGGATAGTGGTTGAGTGAAGCACGGACAGGGGAGCTGCATGAGAAAGCTGTTCAATTAGTTTGTGAGGGGAGGGGTCGTTACTTTGAAGTGCTGTCAAGTTCCAGAACATCAAAGATAGACATATACAAATACAAGTACAAAAATGCCATGTATCCATGGCTATGGTGTATACTATGCTACTACAAAAGTGTAAAATAAGAAAATCTAGAAGAAACTTTTTCATTCTCCATATAATACATAATGCCTCTATTAATACTGTAAATAGTATAATGTCTCCATTATATTTTCCCCTATATTTACAATGTCTCTGCATTAGACTGATAGTCCTTATAGAGAGCTACCTGTTATATCATTTTAAATGACATTTTACATCATCCAATAGAATCCCAATATAAATTAAATATTTTCTATCAAACAAAAGTTAAGTCCCTAGCTCCTGTCTTCCATATATATATGTATATATATACACACACACACACACACACAAACATATATATGTATATATATATATATATACATATATATATATATGGCAATAAGGTAAATGTAAAAAAGAGAAACCATGAAAATACAGGAAGAAAATTGTAGGTGTTTTGTACTCTTAGACACTGTATGACCTCTGAAGCATGGAATGGAAGGCAGGAATATATAGGAAAACACTAACAGATTTGACGTTTTTAATAAATATTTAGAACTGCACTTCAGTGTTTAATAGCATTCAAAATTGGATTTTTAACTTTGCTCAACACGGTATTATGGATGATAAATGGTTTTGGAGGGTAACTAGGTGGTAGGAGAGCAAGTTCTATTGAGCAGCTGCTATTGTCATTCATGTCTAAAAGTTGAATGATTCGCCTCAAAGAAACTTCTGATTGTAAATTTGCAATTTTCAGCTTTTTTTTTCTGGGATTTTCACTAACTTATACTAATCGTTACATTTTTTTCTTTAGCATTTACGCCATTTAGCCGTTTCAAAAAATTCCACCAGGTATTATCTTTCTGTATGAGAAACACCGGGGTTCAGGAGGCCTAAGTGTGGGTCTCTTCAGGCATACCTAGAGCTGAGACAGACCCACCAAAATATATCTTAATACCAACCCCACAAACTTGAATCACCCCAAGACTCTTTGGACCCCATATGCCACATCTGCACTGACAAGATATTGGAACTCCACATGTTCACCTCCTCCAGAGCTATGTTAACTCAGAGAATGAACTTGAGGTCACAGAGAAAGATGTATTATGCAGTCCCACGTGCCAGGCACTGTGCTAAGCACTTTTCATGAATTATTTCATTCAATCTTCTCAACAGCATTACCAAGTAGGTATTAATAGCTGCATTTTACAAAATAGGGAGACTGAGAGGTTAAGTAACTTGCCCAAAGTGCCTTAGTTGAAAAGGAGTGATGATACTTCCTACATGTTGGAACCCAGGTCTGCTTGGTTCTGTTGTTCACCATCCTAGAGTGAGGAAGAGTATGCCAATAGAAACTTGGTCTATCAATGACTCACAAGCTAGAGTATTCTTTTCCATAGAGTTTGATAGGTATAGGAGTGTTAGACAATTATTCGGTTAAATATTTTAATTAAGTATAAATATCTAAAACATGATTTTGCATGACACTGATTTTTGAGTGCTATACAAACATCTTAGTAACCGAGCAACCTCTGGTACAAGAAGTTCAGCAGCTGAATGAACTTCAGTCTTCTAAAGCCAGGTCAGTAAACAACCACCCATGGCCCAATCCTGCCCACCTCCTGGTTTTGTGAGGCCCATGAGCTAAGAGTTTTTTTAAAAATATATATTTTATTGATTTTTTTTACAGAGACGAAGGGAGAGAGAGAGAGTTAGAAACATCGATGAGAGAGAAACATCGATCAGCTGCCTCCTGCACATCTCCTATTGGGGATGTGCCCGCAACCCAGGTACATGCCCTTGACCGGAATCGAACCTGGGACCCTTCAGTCCGCAGGCCGACGCTCTATCCACTGAGCCAAACCAGTTTCAGCAAGAGTTTTTTTAATGGTTGAAAAATTAAAGTATTATTTTGTGACATATGAAAAGTCATACAATTCAAATGTCAAAGCCTATAAATAAACAGCCAGGCTCATTTGTTTACATATTTTCTACGGCTGCTTTTGTGCTACAATTGCAGAGTTGAGAAGTTGTGACAGAAACTGGATGGCCTGCAAAGTTTAAGATATGTACTATCTGGGCTTTTACAGAAAATAGTTTGCTGATCCCTGTTCTATGTCATTTATACATTCAGGTGCAATTTGGGCTTCTGAATTTTTTCTCTGAAACTCTGAAAAAATTTTGAACTCTTTTTTTCTAGAAAGAACACTCCAGCAATATTGCTCTGAAAAAAATTCTGACCGCCTGGGCTGATTTGAAATGACACCATTCGTCAGTCCAGCTTGAAATTCCGCCTCCCTCTCTCATCTAAATACATTAGAGTTATCTCTAGATGGTAAAGCCCGGTCTTACTGCCCAGCCTGTCCTCCTGTTATTCATCTTGTCTGCGTTATGGGTTTCGTTTCACAACATTATGAGTTCATCCAGGCTTCTTGAATCATTTATAGGGATTTTCATTTTCCCTCTCAAACTCTTACACACTTTCTCTGCTGTGAGTTTTTTGGTTTTTTTTTTTTTTCAACAAAAAGCTGCAAGTGGGAAATGGCCTACACATGTAAAATAAAACCTATACTTTAGTTTTTAGTTTTAAGAAATCAGAATTTTTAAAAATAGCTTTTTCCTGGGAAACTAAAGTTAATTTTGCAGGTCACAGAAGAAAATACCTTCATATCCACGGATCTCAAAGCACCTCTGGTGGAGATAGGTAAAGAATGTCTACTTATTATGAAATACTGTTTACTTCCTGGAGGAAATACTATTTCAATGGAAAAGATGAGACTAGTAATAAACAGAGCCTGGGTTCTGCCAATGACTCAGTTTGACTTTGGGCAAATCATCTCACCACTGTTGCTCTTCATCTGCAGAAACTGGACTTCATGCCTGTGGGAGTTGCATGGCTAATCAATGCCTGGAAAATGCGTAGTGGCAGATGCTACAAAAGTGCTGAGCCTTAAAAACAAAACCACCCCCACCCCCTATTTGTATTCAGTTGAGGTTGAGGTTTATTGTTATTTAACATTCGAAGGCCAACACTATGTTAAGTCCAGCGTGCTGCACAGGACAGATAATATCACTGTCCAGTAAGGATTTTTTTTTTTTTAATCGAGTGTTTTGGACTTTTTTCTTTATTGCGGTTTGGGATTATTTTAGCACTCAGTAGTATATCTATACAAACACATTAAGCTTTAAGTTGAAAACTATCGATTACAAAAACCCACATAAACCCCCTCCAAAAAATAAGAGGCCTTCCCCCCACCCCCTCCACCCCGCCAAGAAACCTCTCAAAACAAGAATTCTCCTGCTGCTGTTGTTGTGTGTGTGTGTGTGTGTGCGTTTTTTTTCCTCCCTGCAGTTCTCCATGTTACAGTCCTTGGAGGTAGACTTAGGCATAAAATACTTTCACTAATAAAATATGACAAACCGCCGGATTCTACGTGGCCGATTCCCCGTGATTGCCCTGCTACACAAAGCAGAAAAGTAAATGCCATCATCCCCCTTAGAACAAAAGAACTTAGGAATAAAAACATGGAGCGGGGGGAGAAAGCAGCAATAAATAAAGGTGAGCGGAGGACCCCGTCCCCCGCCCCTCCCCGGAGCGAGTGCGGGACGCGGCGCGGCTAATAAAGTGGTTCCAGGGTAGTTATTTGGGAAGGGGGCGGGGTGGCGGGGTGGCGGGGCGGGAG